AAGTAGATAACCAACTTTCCCAGAAAGTATTAATATTTCACATTTTCTATGATACAAATTTCCCGTTTTCTATGATAAGTAGATAACCAACTTTCCCAGAAAGTATTAATATTTCACATTTTCTGTGATACAAATTTCCCGTTTTCTATGATAATCTACTTTGGAAAATATGTTAATATATCCCAAAAAGTCGATAATCTACTTCCAGAAAAAGTCGAAAATCTACTTTCCTGAAAAGTAGATAATCTACTTTTCGGGAAAGTAGATAACCAACTTTCCCGGAAAGTAGATATTTCCCATTTTCTATGATACAAATTTCCCGTTTTCTATGATAAGTAGATAACCAACTTTCCCAGAAAGTAAAAATATTTCCCATTTTCTGTGATACAAATTTCCCGTTTTCTATGGTAATCTACTTTGGAAAATATGTTAATATCTCCCAAAAAGTCGATAATCTACTTCCACAAAAAGTCGAAAATCTACTTTCCTGAAAAGTAGATAATCTACTTTTCGGGAAAGTAGATAACCAACTTTCCCGGAAAGTAGATATTTCCCATTTTCTATGAAACAAATTTCCCGTTTTCTATGATAAATAGATAACCAACTTTCCCAGAGTAGAAATATTTCCCATTTTCTGTGATACAAATTTCCCGTTTTCTATGATAATCTACTTTGGAAAATATGTTAATATATCCCAAAAAGTCGATAATCTACTTCCAGAAAAAGTCGAAAATCTACTTTCCTGAAAAGTAGATAATCTACTTTTCGGGAAAGTAGATAACCAACTTTCCCGGAAAGTAGATATTTCCCATTTTCTATGATACAAATTTCCCGTTTTCTATGATAAGTAGATAACCAACTTTCCCAGAGAGTAGAAATATTTCCCATTTTCTGTGATACAAATTTCCCGTTTTCTATGATAATCTACTTTGGAAAATATGTTAATATATCCCAAAAAGTCGATAATCTACTTCCAGAAAAAGTCGAAAATCTACTTTCCTGAAAAGTAGATAATCTACTTTTCGGGAAAGTAGATAACCAACTTTCCCGGAAAGTAGATATTTCCCATTTTCTATGATACAAATTTCCCGTTTTCTATGATAAGTAGAAAACCAACTTTCCCAGAAAGTAAAAATATTTACCCATTTTCTGTGATACAAATTTTTACGTTTTCTACTTATGATAATCTACTTTTGGAAAATATGTTAATATCTCCTAAAAAGTCGATAATCTACTTCCACAAAAAGTCGAAAATCTACTTTCCTGAAAAGTAGATAATCTACTTTTCGGGAAAGTAGATAACCAACTTTCCCGGAAAGTAGATATTTCCCATTTTCTATGATAAAAATTTCCCGTTTTCTATGATAAGTAGATAACCAACTTTCCCAGAAAGTAGAAATATTTCCCATTTTCTGTGATACAAATTTCCCGTTTTCTATGATAATCTACTTTGGAAAATATGTTAATATCTCCTAAAAAGTCGATAATCTACTTCCACAAAAAGTCGAAAATCTACTTTCCTGAAAAGTAGATAATCTACTTTTCGGGGAAGTAGATAACCAACTTTCCCGGAAAGTAGATATTTCCCATTTTCTATGATACAAATTTCCCGTTTTCTATGATAAATAGATAACCAACTTTCCCAGAGTAGAAATATTTCCCATTTTCTGTGATACAAATTTCCCGTTTTCTATGATAATCTACTTTGGAAAATATGTTAATATATCCCAAAAAGTCGATAATCTACTTCCAGAAAAAGTCGAAAATCTACTTTCCTGAAAAGTAGATAATCTACTTTTCGGGAAAGTAGATAACCAACTTTCCCGGAAAGTAGATATTTCCCATTTTCTATGATACAAATTTCCCGTTTTCTATGATAAGTAGATAACCAACTTTCCCAGAGTGAAATATTTCCCATTTTCACCAGCAAATACAAATTTCCGTTTCTATGATAATCTACTTTGGAAAATGTATTTAATATATCCCAAAGTCGATAATCTACTTCCAGAAAAAGTCGAAAATCTACTTTCCTGAAAAGTAGATAATCTACTTTTCGGGAAAGTAGATAACCAACTTTCCCGGAAAGTAGATATTTCCCATTTTCTATGATACAAATTTCCCGTTTTCTATGATAAGTAGATAACCAACTTTCCCAGAGAGTAGAAATATTTCCCATTTTCTGTGATACAAATTTCCCGTTTTCTATGATAATCTACTTTGGAAAATATGTTAATATCTCCCAAAAAGTCGATAATCTACTTCCACAAAAAATCGAAAATCTACTTTCCTGAAAAGTAGATAATCTACTTTACGGGAAAGTAGATAACCAACTTTCCCGGAAAGTAGATATTTCCCATTTTCTATGATACAAATTTCCCGTTTTCTATGATAAGTAGATAACCAACTTTCCCAGAAAGTAGAAATATTTCCCATTTTCTGTGATACAAATTTCCCGTTTTCTATGATAATCTACTTTGGAAAATATGTTAATATCTCCTAAAAAGTCGATAATCTACTTCCACAAAAAGTCGAAAATCTACTTTCCTGAAAAGTAGATAATCTACTTTTCGGGAAAGCAGATAACCAACTTTCCCGGAAAGTAGATATTTCCCATTTTCTATGATACAAATTTCCCGTTTTCTATAAGTAGATGACCAACTTTCCCAGAAAGTAGAAATATTTCACATTTTCTGTGATACAAATTTCCCGTTTTCTATGATAATCTACTTTGGAAATTATGTTAATACCTCCCAAAAAGTCAGCTATCTACTTCCACGAAAAGTCGAAAATCTACTGTGGGTTTGTTGCACTGAGGCCTGGGAATATACTGTCTGAATAATGTAAAAAATTTTAAACGCATCTACAACGATAAATATGAGCGACTTGCTGTATAAGCAGATGGTGAGGTAAAAATTTTGTACTTGAAACATTTTATTAAAAACTTTGTAAGGTTCCCATCACCATGCGCACGCACGCGCACACCCACACACACACACACATTCACAAATTTTACTATGAACCAAATTAGTTTTACATTCAGGATTGTACAATTGACACAAATTCATCTCAAATAAATGTCTGTCATATCAATAATGCAGATCAACAATGCACAGGTTTAGAATAATGGAATAGTAAAGATTTACATAATATAATGGAAAAGAATTGAGCCAAATCATCTAAAGTTACACAATATTTAAACAATCATCTACAGTATCAAGTATAATAGTGACTGAAAAAGAGTTTCTTGATTTCCACTTCAAACTATGCAGTCACATACGAAAAAAATATATATATTGTATATTCATATAATCCATACCTTAAACTATAAATGGAATCATTTGATTTAATAATAAAACTCAGAAATTAGCATAAGCACTTACTGTACTCATTTTATATCAGTAGATCTATGAGCCTACATATTTAATTTTCAAAGCACCATTTTTTTTTTTAAGAATAAGACAAAAGTGAGACACCAGAATTTAAATCTACCTCATGGAACTTGTGTTTTTAGACTGATCAACTTACAAAAGAAAAATTATGAAGACAATATTCACAATGACAATATTACACAAGGTTTTGACACTAGTTGCTCTTGTCTTATAGCTTCACCTCCTCCAGGGATCTGTTTGAGGTATAAACTACAAGAACAAATTGAAAGACAAAAGCCAGTAGTGTAGAATAATAAAAAAAAACTTTAATAATAAATTCATGAAGGATGACCCAAATGCAACACTCAATCATATCCCAACCATCCTGCCTCTCAGACACCATGGAAGAAAACCTGGAGTATAGTGTCTTAATTACCTATGAAATGTTCTGCAACTTGTGTCCAAATTTGAATACATGACTAAGTGGAATAAATCTATTTTATGATAACTCAAGAACAATTACAGGGACAGAAATAGGTACAGATTACCAGTCACTTCACTGCAAAATGTACCAATACTAATTTAATGGAACACCCCTATATGTGCTTGGCAAAGGCAATCCACTAATTATAAAATATGCTCTTTCAGGAAATCCAGCTCCTGACTGCCTCTATTGCTGAAATTCAGCAAACATAGTATCAGAAATTGAATATAGAGAAGCCCATATATATGTATGTAGTAATAATAAAGAATTAACTATAACACAGAATGTCTTCATCTTAAACAACTTGCCATTGTAGGATATTTTAACAGTCTTAAATAACTAAGCTAAAGAGTACAGAAGCTTGGACACAAGTTACTCAATGACCTTTAATAAAGTAGTTCTTCTGCTTTACACAGAACAGAGAACTCCAGATAAAAAAAATAAAATAAATAATAGAAATTTATATTTTTAGCAGATGAGATACACATTCCATGAAGCCTTCAACTAAACAATCACAATGGTATTATTATTAGGACTCAAAATCTTAAGCATCTCTTCATTTCAAAAAATGAATAAAATGGACATGTAAAGAAATGTCCAGTGTTTCATCAGATACTGAGAATACCACTGGGAAAAGACAGATGCCACCTTCATGCTAGTAAAGTGTGCTTTATTGTGTAACCTCATTTACTGTTGATTGTCGTCTAGGTAACCAAATTTTAATACTTGAAAAACAAAAATCATATTTATCCAAATTTTACACCCTACATTGGTCTTATGTATGGGTCAATCAATCAAGGTGCCATACTTCTGTCCTCAAATACATACTTTTTCAGCCACTTTAGGAAAAAATACCTTTTCCTCTATAAAGAATGCAAGCTGACAACCTTGTTAACATGGCAAGTGTATGGTGATTTGGCCTAATTTCCCCTAAGTACTTGGCACAAGTGAGTCATATTATCTACTACTTTGCATCTAACATACTGACAAAAATAATGAGAAACTTAGCTATATTGGTAAGAGAATTGAAGAAGATTAAGACGGGTAAAGCTGAGCCTTAAATTACAATGCACCTTGAGAAATCTTGACAACTTTAACTCATTCAAAAAGCATACAAGTGGAAAGAAATGTTATGTGGAGAGCCTTTGTAAAAATTTAATTCAAATTGGAAATAAGCTTTCTTAAAATAAGTCAATATACATAAATATATACAAAATCTTGTAAAAAAAAAAAAAAAAAAAAAAAAAAAAAAGAACAAATTGTATACTACTACAAGACCATTTTATTCACATTAAAAACAAATTATTTTTTCTTAAGGATTAATTATTGGATTATATTTAACTTGAATCATGGAAATATGAGTTACAGTATATGAAATCACTCTTATGAGCTTCACAGCCTCTGTTACGGGTTTAATAATGGTCTTGGTATTAACACAATGTTTGCAAAACTTGATGTTCTACACCTAACTGAATACAAAAAGCTTCCACCACCACTGTTTAATATTAATAAAAAATTAAATTAAATCCATTCTATAAATAGTAATATCCCTCCACCACTGAAAATAGTATACAGTAAAAAGTTAAGATACCATTATCCTGACACATTGACAAAAGAACTGCAACAATCATTACCAAAAGGTAATGACAATGTGAGTAATGGCAAAATTAATAGTACGTATTGTAATTGTTTTGTAAATTAATCTTAAAAAAGTTCAACAGTTGAAGATAATGGTATTAATTTTTTATACAAACCATCAATAAATCATAACATTTTCATTAATATCAATCATCATTCATAATATATATATATATAACACATACCTTGATTTTATTGACACATTGATATGAAGTGGTAAGTTATCCATTCACTACACCTGAGAAATGAACAGGAAATTTTTTTGACACTTATGGAAAACTGCTCGGTATTCTGAGTTCAGAGTACAACATAACTGCTCTAATTCATCTCCAATCAATATCATCGAAAGTGAAACCAAGTAGAGGTTTTCAACTTGTCTGAAGCATGAGTGGAGATATACATCCTTTTTGTCCTTGAAAGAAATGTGTAATCCATGCAAGCAGCCATCACAAAGAATGTTATCTGATATATTATTCTCTACATTTTAGAATACTTAATAAAGCTTTCTCCAAAACAATGAAATGGAGTTCCCTATTCATGAAGTATCTTTTGTTGTTGTACTCTGAATGTAACTATTACATTTTGGGGGAGTCATATGGGCAATCATAAACTACATAACCAATAACACTTTTATGCGCTGGTAAGTCTTGTGCAGGTATCACAGTTTGACCATGCCGGTACAGTAGACCCTTACCTTATCATATATACCAGGAAACGTAATCAGACATTTGCCTAAAATGCCATATAAGCTACAGGCCCCTATACAGACTGTTCTCAATAACTTTAAAATACACTAACTGCCTGTATACTGTACTTTTAGTCTGAAGCACTGAGTCATAATAACAACCACTGTCTTTATTGTCTGACACCTTGTTGAGTCTGCTATGGTAAGAATTAAAGGAGTTGGGTTCCACCACTTCAAGAAAAATAAGTTTGATATAATAATAACTATGAGGCTGCTGCTGCATTACAACCTTGAGTCATAAATTACTGACATTTTATTAATTAAATTTTCAAAGGCAAACATGTCTTGTACATATGGCATTAATAAATAGGTCTAAATGTTTACAATATTAAATGGACACTACTGTACACTAAATGCTGTTTTGAGGAGAGTCGTGTCCACACGTAATTCAAACAAAGTTTCTTTTCTAACATCACACTATTTTATGAAGGTTAATAAAATGTTCTATTTTATAATAAAATATACAGAAACCATGATGTTACTAAACTATTTTTTTAAAACTGCAGAAAGCTACCACTTTTATATCACTTCAGCATAGCAAGGTGGTACATCCCGAGAAGAGAATATGCTTTAACCTTGATTACAACAAGCATTGTGCACAGGATGACATTGCAACAACCATTCTAGGAAGTAGGATGAGACTTCACCAGCATCTTTTGGTTAGCAAGTGCAGAGCATTGATCTAGTGTCATTACACCTACTAGCAGATAGTTATGATTTTGCCTAACCATTTATTTTTTCAAGTTTTATAAATTTTACATCCAAGTTACAATACCCAACAAGTAAAATAAATTAAAAATTTTAAAGTAATTAATACAAAGTAGTATAAACATTTTATGTTGCTCTATCACTGAACAAGGTCTCTCCTCACAGCACTTTATCTTCTACTGGCTGAGTTCTCTCCTCAGATAGTATGGTATATTACCAGTAACTTCTGTAGCAGCATGGCCCTTTCTCTATACCAGGTGTGACGTCGTCATATAAAAAAAACCTTCTCTGGCTTTCTTAGAAGGCACTGATTTCACATTCTCACCTGGACAGATAATACAGGAAGATATAACTCTGGAAGTTACAGGATAATGTCATATTTACACTATACATACAGTATATATTTACTGTAGATTAAGTCCATTCCACCTAAAAAAAGATGTAATTCACCTACAGTACAGTGACTCCCAGTTGGCATCTCTTCTTATGTTTTCCTTTGTGTATCACGTCTGTTAATAGGTTTTTTGTTTTCCACGGACAAACATTTTAAGAGTTCAAACAATTTCCCGGATAATTTTCTTTTACTCTCATCAAAGCTACTGTACTGGTATTGTATATGAATTGAAACATTTTTATCTATAGCTCAAAACATAGTCCATTAATATGTACATGATTTTCAAATGCTGTTTGTCAGGATCATATAATGCCTAACATAAACAGTACACTGAAACATCGGAGGAGACGACTTTTGCAGTTTGTACAAAGCCACAGTTTCTTGCTTTACACAGAAAGTAGTTTATATCTACAGGCATGACATTCTGGGGATGCCTTTCTGGCCATCATTAACAGTTCACATTAAGTACAAGTGATAAAACCTCGCCAGTTTCATCATGGATGGTATCTGTGTTGTAGTAGCCAGTAGTAGAAGTGCTTATTGGGACATCCTACACTGGGCATTAAGTAGCATCAACTGTCATTCACAACCATGAGAGAAATATGTTTAGTTCACAATTTCTGAACATTTACCATCTATATTTTCACATGGATCACCCAAAAAAATATTAGAGCTAAACTCTACAGATGCCAACCACACCAAGCATCACATAGTTCTGGTTACGAGGGCACATTCGACAAACCACTTCTTTCCATATTATTTCAGGGATCAAATAATGACACCAATTCACTTCAATAAAACAAACACTCGGTAGGAAATTAATTGGCCTGCCATTTAAAGGACCCGTTCATAATCCACTGCTGACTCACTGATCCGTCACACATCTTGAGAACAGGCAGAGTAACATCCCGAGCATCTGGCTTCTGCAGGCATCGGCCAGAGTTTACATGTCGAATTGATCCATCCTGAAATGTAAATTGAGAATACCTGTAGTTTCAAGTTCCTCAAACTGATCAATTAATGTTGGATGTTAGATATTTTTGGATACTAAATAAACTTTTTTTCTGTACTGTAGAGTATCTACTGTACACACAGTAAAAAAGTATCAAGCAGGGGGGGGGGTCTTCTGCTGACTTCCATAATGAACCATACATGACTTAATGTGTTCATATTCAGTTTTACCATCAACTATATATACGACAGGATATGTCGTGAACAGCAGATATGTGAGGACACCCTCAGGCAAGGACAGCAGGGCTACCACCATAACACAGGACCAACACACATATTCCACTCTCCCTCATCTGTGCAGTACTTTTTTTAATGTGTACACAAGTATATACTCACTACTACTGACCAAAGCTACAAGATTTGAATGTATGTGGCCCTCCATATAAATGTTTTGTTCAAAACATATGGGGTCAGGAATCTAGCCCTCTAGAATTTCTCTACAGCATCTCAAAGTATTTAATTATAAAATCCTATACCCTGTACTGTAATTATTAACATGATAAATTCCATCATTGCTATAAAAAACTTATACCGAGTAGTGTTAAGAACACAAGCAGAGGGGGGGGGGGCAAGTGGTGGGGTGTTACTGAATTAATAATGAACACATTAAGTCCCTGTACATGTTGGTGTTGTCTCCAATCTCCATCCCATAACACTGCCTCAGTCAGGCAGTAGTGAAGGCACACTGAACATCATGGAGCAGTGCAAATGAATTAAAGATGAAAATAAAAAGGTTCATGAGAAATGTAGTGACGCTCACCTGGTTGTAGAGTAAAAAATTTAAGTACAGTACAAGTATTGTGCTTATTTTACAAAAAATTTTGCACAAACAATCTGCAGCTAATGCTACAAAATATGGTTAAGTGAACAGGAGTCTGCAGTGCAGGGGGAACGCAACAAAATACTGTACTAATACAGTGGCCTCACAAGTTTCACGCAGCTCGAGTTTTGCAATTCAAGAGTGTCACGTGGGCCCCCAAATTCCCAGCCTCGCAACATACACGCACCTTCCTCCAGAGTCTCCAGCTACCCATACTTATAAAATGTGTGTTGTACCTTCTACTTTTTAAGTTTTTGTGTCTAAATTGTGCTTAAATTATAGATTAAATACAGTATTATTGTATAATACATTACAGTACTGTTTTTTGTTATATAAAATATATTTTGGTAACAAGACTGTAAAAAACACTAAACATTGTACTGTACATAAATACATAAAAAATACAGTAACACAGATATTGTACAAAAAGTAGTTCTATATTACATAAACAGCTCCTTCCCTGGCACGCTGTCTGATCAGTTGTTCACCTATGTAAACATATCACCAGGAACTTAATACGACACAATAACTTATCTGGGTTGAGTGTGCGATTTTTTTAAATTGTTTATTGACAATAATGTTTTATTAACCAGGCACCAAATGAACCAATATAATGCGGGAATTATGGTGAAATTACATAGTGTTGATTTACTAGGGTAGGGCTGAAGGAAGTCTCCTAGAGGGGAAATTTTTGCCGAGTCATTCCACCCTCAACTGTCATACCTACCTACTGTACTTCCCTCCACATAATTCCTTTCCACACATTATTTTTCTTAATTTATACTTTGATATTATATTTTCTTTATTTCAAGTCATATTAGAGCATTGCTTTCTGGTTGAATTGGGGGAGTGAAGGGGACGAAAGGGCAAAAAAGAGAACCTTGGCACAGGCGCCATAATGAAGAAGTACTGTACCTTTAACATGTTAACATACAGTATATCATGACTTCCACGATTCAGTAATTCTGCAAGGGGTTCCCAGAACAAAGTAATTGCGAAACTCGTAAGGCCACTGTAAAGAAGTAAGTGATATTTTCGTTCATTTATGCAACCAAATCATAAAAATGCATTTTCTCGGCTAGTTGGCCCCCCTCGTGTCTCGACTTTCCTCACAAGTTTTTAGTGTGTTGTACAAAGGTCATGTGGTAACTGTTGGTTAAGTAATATAATGTGAGGGTGTGCAGTAATGTACATATCTCTCACTACTGTGTCCTGAGTTTAATTCCTGGCCCTAGACAGATATGAGAAGGCTGTTATCCAGTATGACCCTCCCAAACATATTAGATTTTCTCCGGGTACTCCAGTTTCCCCCTGTACTGACACTGGACAAGGAAGAACAAACTCATGAGGAACAATGGGGTGATTAAACAAACTACAGTACCTGTTTCAGCTTCCTTTACACACCAAGCAGTAAATTAAAAAATATAATTGAATTAGAAGTGTGTATACAGTGTTCTGAAGGAAATGCTGTCATACAATTTTAAGAGAGAAAATATTTTAGCACTTGGATGTACTGTGCAGTTGCATGATGTTGGTTGCATGATGAAATTGTGTTGTGGGAAGGCTGGTGTTAGATTGCAGTACAGGTGTACCACCACTTCGCATAACCGACGATTACATAAAGGGGAAATACCCCTCAAGTTTCGTTGATACCCCAGAGATCCAACGATCAGGAGAGGAATGGCAGAGCAGTTTTGAATTTGGCGGGCAGTGGTAGGGGCATATTGTTGCCACGAGAGGGCTCTGCACACTGCCCTAACTCATTCCCGCCATCTTTGCTCTCTGATGTTCCTCTTGTGCTGGGCAGGTTGATGTGATATGATAAGGCATAATAAGAGTCGTGATGGACAAGCAAAGAGTGGTAAAGACTTGAACTTGCCACCCTGGACTGTTTGTACCATCCTCAAAACAGGTAAATAACAGTCTCAATTCATGCTTTACATTGCTTATTTAAGGCTTATTATGCTTGCTTTATGTCTGCTTTATCTTCTTGCTTGACAGTGTGCATGACAAAGATATATTAAGGGTAGATGGCAGTTTTTGGAGGGTGGCCAGTCTCTATCCCACTGAATTTGCTATGTCCTTATGGGATTAATTGCTTCGATAACCGTCGATTCACTAACCAACAGCTTTTCCCAGTACAGTGATATCTCCGTTAGCTGGAACAATTGGTGCAGAGCACTTCCGGGAAGGAGAGATTTCCAGGTAACGAGATGACTCTCTCAAAGCTGTAAAAAAAATCCCTCATCCCCAGAATTTTCCGGGCAACGGAAATTTGTTCTCAGAATTTCCAGAAAATGCGCCCAATTTTCATCTCTCAAACCCAGAAAAACTCCCCCATCCCCGGAATTTTTCGGGTACTGGGAAAAATTTCTCAGGATTTTCCGAAAAATTTGCCCCTCGGAAAATCGTTCCCAAAGCCGGAATTTTCCGGAAAATTCCGACTTTGGAAACGGTTTTCAGAGAAAATTTCAATTCCGGCTATCGGAGAGTTCCGGGTTTGAGGGATTCTCTCATGTTCTGTAAAACATCTGGTCCTCAACAGGAAACTGGCAACGAAAGTATGAGTGGTCATGTTAACCTGCTCACGAGTGCAAATTCAGATAATCTAGTTGACAAAGCACTTCTTGGGGAACTAGCTGAAAATTAGAGAAATAAAATAAACTGGGAACAAGTTACAAACGTGAACTGAAATTAGGTGAGAAGGCAAACGGGAGGATAGACAGGAAAAACTGAATAATGGGGCGTGTATAAAATGGCTGTTAATATGTGAGGAACAATTTATGTATAACTGGAATAGTTGCAGAAATGTTGAAAGCATCACACAATGTCGGTGTGACCAAATCGATTAATGCAATCATGATGGAATGTACTGTTCCACACAATTGACAGACCAATTTGATTATGAATATTTACAAAGGTATAGGTAATACACTTGAAAACAGGAACTACAGGGACCTGACGCTGTTAAACAGACCAGGTTATCAAAAATGTGGGAGAGTGGACATCAACGAAATGCAGCCTGGGTTCATGCCAGGTAGGGAAACTACAGAGGCAATATTTATGGCCAGGCAACTACAAAATATATCTTGGGAAGTAGAGAAAGTTGTACTTCGTATTTGTAGACTTAGAGAAGTAGTATAGTGGGTAATGAGAAGCTATGGGTTGAGGAGTGTCTTGTTCAAGTGGTTATGGCATTAGTATATGAAGGCTCAAAAATGCTGTGAGAGTTAATGGCAAAGAAAGTGAAGAATTTGAGGTGAAAGGACATTGTCAAGAGTCTGTCTTGAGCCCCCTTCTGTTTATAATGGTGCTGGAGGCAATATCATAGAACTTTGGGAATGGTCTGCCATAGGAGTTGTTGTATGCTGATGATTTAGTGTGCATAATGTAGCTGATAGTACTGAAGAGGCAGTGGACAAAGTTTATGAAATGGAAGGGTGGAATAGAGTCAAAGGGCATGAGTGAACGTGGCAAAAACAAAAGTATTGATTAGCGGCAACAGTGAAGGACCCGTGGAGGAAAGAGGAAATGGCCATGTGCTGTCTGTAAGAAAGGTGTTGTTAGAAACTTAATGTGCAGTAAATCAGAAAGATGGGTAGAAAAGATATGTAATGAGTAGATGAAAGGCTGCAGGATATTGCTAACTTTTAGTGTCTTGCATACACAAGTAATAATGTGACCTAAGCAAGGCTGGAGAAACTCAACATTGGGAATACGAGTATATCCTTGGATTGTGTCAATGAGTTCTGTTACCTGGGTGACATGATCAGTGCTGGGGGTGGTGCTGAAGCTAGCTCAGTTCTAAGTCAGAAGAAGCTGGAGAAAGTTTAAGAAGTTGCTGCCTTTATTGACAACAAAAGGACCTTCCCATCGCATGAAACGAAAGATGTATGCAACTTGTGTGAGAAGTGTAATGTTGTATGGCAGGGAAACATGGGCAGTGAAAGAGTTTGACATATGCAGGCTTGAATTAGCTGAAAGAAGAGTACTGTATCCCCTGTTATTACTGTACCTCCCTTGAAGTCTTATGGCAAACATCTCACTTTCACTACACAAAATTAAAAATACTCTTATTCTATTTTCATCACTGTACCTGGTCGTTAAACGTCCACATCTGGTTTCCACCCATGCCATGACAACGCACAAGCTTGACAGGACCACTTGGGTTGGAGGAATCTAGACAGTTATCATCGGACATAATCTGTTGTCTCTTGGTATATGCAAATACCTGTGGGATTAATTTTATGTTAATGGCTGCAATTTTGAGTTAAGCTAAAAAACTATGATGAATATTTAGGATCACTATTTACTGCAGTATTCCCATACATAAATACATAAATGTTCATTACTTATTTAATATATTGTTTTGTCAAAAACTCAACATCTTAAAAAGAAAAGAAAAGTTCAATCAGAAAAATGACAAAAAAGATTAAAATACAGCTACAGTATACAGTATACAAATATTTTAAAAACAAACTTGTTTGGAAACTCTAAATTGTTTATATTCAAATAAAAAATAGCACAAGAAAAATTAATAAGAGATTGTTGGCAAGAGGTGCTAGAAAGCAAGCTGGTTACATGCAAGAAAGCCCAGATATGGAAATAACAGTGCAAACAATATGTATCACAATAACAAAGCATCAAGTACTGCTTGCAAAACCAATGAGTTCATGATTATTTTTTTCATGTTAAAATATATACTGTACAGCAATATGAAACAATATTACTGTTTTCTGTAATTATTTTTATATTTTACACTGCATATTTCATGAACAATGTTTAGCAAACTAATAACTATAAAAAGGAATTCATGAAAAACATGGAGTCATTATTTTTTTTAATTTCATCTTTTTGAGATAAATAACTTTATAATGTGGGCTTCTAATGACAAAATTCTCCTTCTTTATAGTTTTAATTTCTTCCTAACTCCTTCACTATGGGGACGAGTGGCTAATAATAATTTTCTCAGATAATGACACTAACAAACAAATCAACACATTAAAAAGTATTTTGTCTCATTTCTCCAATACAAGCAACACAATACCACCTCTAGTCCATTCACCATACAACTCCCACTAAACACAAATGTAACTAAAAATTTATACAGACCTGTTGACCCGACAGCTTCCGACACATTGTTAATTGCACAGAGAAAGAGGCATGGGCACGAGCCAAGCACAAATCACCATCTGAGGTCTTTATCTGTTGGTGTGAGCACGACACAACCTCTAATTATACAGTACAGGTATAAGCCAGTACAATAGGGAAAATTAGCAGGAATGAACCATACAGAAGACGGGCATAAATCGGTGATACAATGATGTACTTCACCAACTGCAGTACAGAGGCTGCCAAAAAGATGGTTATACTGATGAATGGACGGACAGGTGACCACAGACTGACAAAGACATAACTCCGTACAATAATACATCCCATAATTGGCAGACAACCTCCAATATTTCAGTAATTTTTCTCCACTCATTTGTTTCCACAAGCTGGGAGAGTTCAGGTTTATCAATGACTTACGGTGTTTGGAACAGGTTCTAAAAAAAAAAAATTTCAAAATCAAATCCGGATCAGTGGATTGATTGATCGATTTATTGAAATTAGACTCAAAACCAAACACTGGACCCAATAGGCCATTCAGCACTGTATGACAATAAAGGGATATCCCTTATATTATATACAATAACAATCAATTAAAACAAATTAATAACAACTAATGCTTCACCCCCTCTGACCCCTTGGCTCAGTTTCCACCAACGTTGAGCACCAAGAAGCATGCAATGCTACCTAGCACATACCTTAGATTAATAAGAACTGTTTTTTCCATATAGTCTGGCAGCATAACCCTGGTACCATCACCACACCTACCTTCACCAAACCAGCTGGGGCTGGACGAAGAATGCAGAAGGTTTGTACACGCCATATTGGACAACAATACCTGAGGCTGCCCACACCTGTTATGAGTTAGTCTGGTGCAGATGTGTGAAGGGCTGCAAGTGCAAAAAGGCTGCACTTGAATGCATAGTACTGTGTGTGTGTGAAGGACTGTGCTCCCATCATCGACTTCCTAGATTGGTGAATACTGCTCCACAACTCACTGTACTTGCAAATTCACATACTGTATTCACCAATGACATAATAAAACCATGTTTAATTTTGGTTTATCTCCTTTGTCCTTGTCTTTTAGCACCTTAGAATGTCAACTGCGACTATTTTAATCCCGCAATATGTCTTGAAGTGACTTTTCTGGATGGTCATAGTTTTCTGACCGCCATTTTGGAAAATGCCTGCCACAGCCGTCAGGGGCAAAATATGCAGTGGCACCATATCCAGATTTGTTCATTTCCTAAAAGTCAATAAGTGTGACACATTTGGTACTTTTATCACAAAATGCACAATAGATTTACTATGCTGCCCCACTAATATTGTAACTTTATAATACCATGTATATCCAAATTTGTTTTAAAAACTAACAACATTAACAATATCTGTGTCACTGAACTGCCCTCTTAAATCATTTAATTATATTTGAGGCGGGAGTGGCCAATCTTCAACCTTGTTAAAACAATACCACTCCTGTTGGGAAAACAAGAGTTGAATAAAGAGCCAAATAGCTCACAGTTTAGTTTTTGTTGCCAGGGAAGACCAATGCTTTTGCCACTTGCCAGCAGCAACGAGTGGATCGACCCCTTCAGGTCACTGAGATATATTGACAGTCACAGGACAAGGGAGGCCAACTGCCTCTTTTGTTCCCAGGTCAGTGCACTAATTTCCTTCAATGCCCACATGAGATGGCACCCAATAAAACCACACACACACTGTGCCTGTCTTCAAGAGTGCAGAAGAACCACCAGACCAGTGGAGAAGATTGCTCCAACAGGTTTGCAAGGTCTATGTACACAGAACACAACTACTGTATTCACTTATATTCGTTAATGCAATGTGATGTGTGATCTCAAACAAACACAATTTATCTCTGTACACAATTCACAATCTAACACCCGTTGTTTTAATTACCCTCTTCCATTGACAGGGATTGTCGTGTTTACAACCAGACTTTTTAAAAATTTGAGCCATGAAGGACACTGCACTATAGCGCTCAACAGGGAAGTGTGGCTTTAACTTCCAATAATAAAAGACAAGTTAATTTGTCATTAACCAACATGATTCCCATGTTAGTACCATTGTGCAATTCTGTTACAGGTTGTACCTCTCTAGTCCGGCATTCTGTGGTCCAAAAACTCCCGTGGTCCGGAACAATTTTAGTTTATCCAATAGGTAGAAAGGCAGTTTTTTCTTTTTTTTTATACTTATCTAAATTATTATTATTATTACAGGAGTATTAAATTTTTGCCCCTCAGGCCCCAATGTGGGTCAGTGACCTATGCCCGGGTGGGCTAATCCCCTTAAAAAAAAATAAAAAAACGCGGGAAATTAAGGTTTGTTTACATCTGGCAGTTCGGCTGCTCTCTCTCTCTCTCTCTGCTTGTCTATACAGAGTACAACATATAACCCTTCAATATATATGAACAGTAAATAAGTGTGGCTTTCATATTCTTATGTCGAGTAATGATACGTTTTCACATGTGCGCACATACATACACGCAGTCTCACTTTTTTTTACCATTAATGGTTAGTTACTTATAATGTTCCATTTATTAACTTTAAATAACATTACAGGTACTTCAAACAACCATATTAATTTTTTTACATTAATTTTACTACAGCTAAAATCAGGGTCTTATTTTCTTCAGTTTTATATGTAGAACCAATCAGTCACCGATTTTGTAAGCTTTAACATAAACAATGCCGGCAGCCGTCTTTTCTCTAATATTCCACGTATTATTAATAAACTGTATTGTTAATTTTGCACACACAAACATTAATTCAATAAAAACAAATTCAGAAACATTAATTAAAATATATATGAACAGTAAATAAGTGTTGCTTTCATATTCTTGTGTAAAGTAATGACGATATGTTTTCACGTGTGCGCATGCGCACTTACATACGCGATCTCTTTTTTTTCTTTACCATTATCGTTAGCTACTTCTATTGTTCCATTTATTAACATTAAATAACATTACTTAAAACAACCATATAATTTTACTACAGCTACAGCCAAGGTCTTATTTCCTTCAGTTTTATATGTAGAACCAGTCAGTCACTGGTTTTGTAATCAACGAAAACAATGCTGTGTCATTTCCTCGTGTGTTTTAATATTCTACGTATTATTAATGAATTGTATTGCTCATTTTGCACACAAACATTAATTCAATAAAAAAGACATTCAGTAATAAACAATAATGAATCTTTTGTACATAAGAGAAATGACGCGGTTTACACGATTATGCACGTCGTCTGCACGTTGGCGGGCCGTTCAAACCCGTCGAAATTCAAGTTTCCGCCGCCAAAATTTTTTATTTATTTATTTTTTTGTGTGTTCCAATAAAATACGTTAAGAATTAAAAACTCGCGAAATTTGAGAAGCTACTATACGACATTTAACCCTTCAATATGTCTTCAAAGAGACCATGATGCAGAGAAAGTGG